ATAATAAATGCGAAAATTACTTTTGAAATGTCAAGTGCAATCATTTGACATACCTTTTGAGATTACGTCCTAATTCTTCCCTATTTCAGGTCTTTTTTTTATTAGTGGCAATTGAACATGGATTTTTTTGTGTTGCGTAATGACGTTACAGGTGATATGCGTAAACTGAACGAAATTGGAGCCGCTAGCGATCATACCTTGTTTTCTTTGTATCATGAATAGCAATAAACCCTCGCCTGAAATGTCAAACGTACAGTCTTTTCACAAACAGTATTATTTTTACTCCTTATGAAACAATATACTATTATCACACATTATATGTTTTTCATCTTTAAGTCCCAACAGTTTCAACTCAATTATATCTTCCAGTCTCCGAAAATATTTTTCTCTTTAAAATATATTTTTTTATTTTCTTTTTATGTATATTTATTAAGCTAGAATATTTAATGCATGTATTTAGACATTAGTGTCCTAATGTCTAAAATTGTATCTTTAGTGAAAATAACTACTGACTGACATCAATTTTGTAAAATTATTGTAATTAAATAATTGTAATTTTTGTAAAAATTCATTTGATTTTGATTTGACAAATCAACGAATTGTTAGGGTTTAAACAAATTAGGATTATTTGCATAGCGATATCTGCGTATCTAAAGCTTCGTTTAAAACAAGGAGATTGGTGCTCTGCTGCTGGCATGTGTACAAGACCAGACGCGGAGGCTGAAATGCGAATACTCAAAATATATTTTGAAGTTATAAATGTCATATTCTGACATTTATCTATGAGGACTACAATAGTAGGTATGTGTTTTTATTTAATCCATCAGAACTCATCATATATGAGGGGACGCTTTTTACAATTCGACGCTTTTAAATGGAAACACCTCTTTTCTATAGGAGATAGACGAAAACTAATATCGGTGTCTGGGCTCAAATTTTGAACAAAGATCTATGGTGAAAAACCGCACATCGATATCTGTACCGTTTCGGAGTTACGGGGTGTTTTTCAAAAATGTGCATTTTTAACAAATCGCTGTAACTTTTTTGCTACGAAAAATTTTGTATTTCTATGAAAACATTTCCAAAGCACCTTTTTACGTAGAATTTAATGGTTTAAGTATAATTTTTGTAAAATTAATAATTTAAGAGTTATTAACAGAAAAATTGATTTTTTATTTGGGACACCCTATATATTTTTAATTAACTGAAAAGAATTTAAAATTACCTTTCCAAAAATATAGCACACTTCATATTTTGTTATAATCCCCTTCAAAATACAGAATTTTTAAAAGTTCGCCACTTGTAACTAGTAGGCTTTGGACCCCTTATTGATGATATGCCCTTAATGGAACTCAAAAACATTATATTTCCAGCAAGACGACGCACCGCCTCTAAACGCTGAAGTTATCAGCAAATTTTTGCAGCCAATTTCAAGAATAATTGAATAGTTAACCATGTCCCAGCCATTGGCCGTCGAGACCGCCTAACTTAGTGCCCATGGATCTAATCCTATGCATATATTTGCGGAAGAATGAAGGTTCCTTATTCTTCCATATAATCTAGACAAGAATTAAAAATACTTAGCAGTTATGAGGGGTATCTTTCACCCCCACCGAGTTAATGAATTCCGCGAGAAATGTTCAAAAACTGACCCGTCTGTCCATAACAGAAGACGGTTGATATGTCGAACACCTGTAGCAAAATCTCATGTCTTTGTTTGCTATTTATTTTTATTGTTATTAGATATAGTTCAAATGTGTTGATGTTGGTTAAATATATTTTAAATTGTTATAAAAATCTGCATCTCTCATAGCAAATATTATTTTCGTTTTAATTGATGCTCACAGCTAGAATTTTTTTGCATTACAGCCGGTGCCGTTCAAAGCCTATTTATTTAAAGAGGGCGAATTTTTATATACTCTATATCTCGAAGAGGAATTGAGCAAAATATCAAGTCTGTTATATTTGTGGAAAGCTAATTTTAAATTCTTTTCAATAAATTAAAAATATACAGGGTGTCCCATATAAAAATCAAATTTTCTGTTGATAATCTCTTCTAAATTATTGTTTGAAAAAAATTATACTTAAACCATTAAATTCTACGTGTGGTGCTTTGAAAATGTTTTCGTAAAAAACAAAATTTTCCATAGCAAAAAAGTTACAGCGATTTGTTAAAAATGCATATTTTTTAAAACACCCCGTAACTCCGAAACGGTAACAGATATCGATATGCGGTTTTCACCATCATGTTTTTGACAAAAATTAAGCTCCAGACACTGATATTAGTTTTTGTCTATCTCCTATAGAAAAAGGTGTTTCCATTTAAAAGCGTCGAATTTGACCCACCCTGTACAACTTTTAAAAGCCCGTTTTTGATTCTTTTTAATTTATTTCTACCTGTCTTTCTGTTTGGTCTTTCTGTTTGATGCTTATCATTCTGAGATTTACAAGATCATATATATATCTGCACCGACTAGAAATTATCCGAATCGTCAATACACAGAAAGAAAATAGCAACTCTAATATACCAGGTGCGTCTCGACAGAGTGGCTCACCCCTATAACTTCTTTATTTTCTCAGATAAAAAAACGAGATTTGGTATGTTAGTATATGACATAAATTAGGATTGATTGACGTATTCAATTGTTTTTGGTCACTTCCTGTTTCATCGGAAATTTTGATTTTTAAATGGCACCTTCGGTAGTCTTTTACTTTATTCGAAAGAAAATGCCACTCTGAATATATCATATACTTTTGACATTTTTGCTTTAAAAAAAATCGTAATTTAAATTTTAATCTAGAGTCTAATCAAAAATGTCAAAAGTTGACATATGAAATGTCATTGTATTCAGAGTGTCATTTTCTATCGAATAAAGTAGAAATATACTAAGGGTGTCATTTCAAAATCAAAAGTTGCAGTCATTTACAGTGAAACAGGAAGTGACCAAAAACAATTGAATAAGTCAATTAATCCTATTTTATATCATATACTAACATACCGAGTCTCGTTTTTTTATCTGAAAAAATAAAAGTTATAGGGGTGAACCACTTTTGAGATGCACCCGGTATGTATCTGTAAACATGACTATTAAATGTCAGACATGTAATTATATCGTTTTTTGCACGAGTTGGCCTTATCAAAGACCACCCACTGTATAAGAGTTTCTGCATGGTGACTTGATATCATCATCTATATCAATTTCATGGTATTACATTTCGAAGGTTAATTAATTTGTGTTAAAATTACTGGAAATAATTAAATAAATATATGAAAAAATATCCATCTCTTAAAAAAATAAGTATATCTTTAAAAAAAAAAAAAAATAGTTAGTTTACTCCGAAATAGGGCCAATTGTCATATATCTGAATATCACTTCAATAATTGCGGTAAGATCAATATGCAAAGAATAATCGGTCAGTTATAAATCAGTTAACTAATATAAAGGCTGATTAAAAGTTAAAAGTGATAAAACAATAATATATAGACTTGAATGAGCCTTGGAATGAGCTTTAAGAAAGTGGAAATTATAAATTATTGCTTATTTACTTAAGTGGTTTATTTAAAAGAGACTTCATAATTTTCGATTCTCAAGATATTTGGAATATAAATTTGATGTAAATTGGGAAATAAACATGTTGACTAGATAGTGATTTGACTGAAATTATAAATTTCGGAATTTTTTATTTATTTTTAAATGATAAGAAGAAATTATGATGGCGGTTTCTGTTGAACATTTGACACAAAAATATTTCAATTTTATGATTTCGGTCTAATAACTATCTTGTCGATATGTTCAATTTTTGCCAATAAAATGACAGGTATTGATTATTTCGATTCCAAATAATTCGAGAACCATTACTCATAGCAGTTTTTACAAAGCAATTTTTACAATTACATTTTTTACGTAAAAAACGACAGAATGTATATTTTTTCACTCAGTAGGTTCTATAGAGTTACGGACGAAAAGTTATTACTTTAAACGAGATAAAAAATATGTAGGTAGTACCCCCTACAAGTTAGAGTCATATTAACATCGAAATCAAATTTCCCATATCAAAAAGCTCCTAGACGCCACTTTTCATCCAAATATCGACGATAGTTTACAAATTATTTGAAAAAAGTCGAAATTAAAAATGAAACTTCTACACCCTGTATCTCCGAAAGGAAGCAATTTAGGACATACTACATCTATACGAACTTTTTCACTTATTTAATTTGCAGAATATTATGCCGAAGTTTCCCGAATAGAATTATTCGGAAAACCCTTAATATTTTTCCTCCTCTTAATATTTTTCTTGTATCACGCTTCAGTTTATACGCTTTAACCCATACAAATTTAAAATTTGGCTATCAACCTGATGGCCTTAAAGTATTAGAATTCAAATTTAGTGTGGTTATACTGCCCTGACATTTATTTTTATTTACATTTATTTTCAATCCATTACTTGGCAATTTTAACCGCCAATTTTAAGCTCCAAGGCCATACACCGATACCTGAAATCCAACTGACTTCTTCAACTGCTGTGTATAGTATTGAAACCATAGATTTAAAATATTTTATATTAAGCCTATGATTGAAACAAATTATTTCATTCATATCCCCGATGAGAATTTTATTCTGTATTACTTCAACTCGCCATTCCTCATCAACATTTTTACCTATAAATTATTTTCTTAAAAATACCTAATAATGGTAATGACGATCCCTAACTAATGGTTTAATATAAAATAATATGTTCCCTCATGAATTAAATTTTTGAATACTTTCCATTATTTAGCAAGAAAACTTGTCATTTTTAATGAATACCTAATAAAATAGTAATTAAAAATGAGTCCTTTGGAATATAATGAGATTGCTGATACTAAAGATGGGTTTTCATTAATCATACTTATTTAGTATCTATTCAAAACGCAGTATTCAACTATTGGATGTTCGAAACACCAGTATTTAGGTACCTTAATCAGTTTTCTTTACACACTTTCAAACAATCAATCATACCTTAATATCCTCGACGAAATCTTTGGACGCATTTTTATCCTTTGATCCAAATATCATAGCGATCACTGCAAACACTAACAATACAACAAACACACTGCACACAAACGATAATTCGTTTCTTTGATCTAAATGCCGATTTAAAGTAACATTGCCGAGCGTAGGTTGTAACTTAAGCCTTAATTACTTAAGTGCTGTAAAGCGACTATAGACCGGAGTACCCTCGCGACAACACGCTATCTTCGGACAGGTGACGTCAGTACTAGTTGAGCCCGACCTCTTCGTTTACGTTGAGGTAGACAGTTCCGTACTAAGGCATGGGCAAATTGTACTAAGGTGAGTAGCGGTTGGTGGGCGATATGGTTGTAGAAGGGGACATAACGAGTAATATTTTGTTTGATGAAAAGTCTATAAAGTCAGATATGCGTAGTTTGCTATGCCGCCGTTTCTCTGTAGACTTGAAATGTACTGTTTATGTTTTCTGCTAGGAAGAAAATATCTAGTCTGGCTAAAGAAATTTGTCTAACGAACAAAAAAACCCAGACAGTCAGGCGGAACTTATGTCATTTATGCAATTTCTTTTTTTTTTCCACAATAAGGGGCCGTCCTCTGCCGGAAACACTGCGACCTGTGAGGCCTATTGTGTTTGTCCCCTTTCTATATCTGCACCCATTCTGCTATCCCTGTGCCCTGCACTAACTTATGCAGATCCTTGATAGGATGGGAGCATAGTTCCTCCGGTTCTAGCCTAGCTTTCCCAAATAAAAAGTGTCGCTTGCGATCCAGAGCCTCGCAGTGACATATTATGTGCTCCGCTGTTTCAGGATCTTTATCGCAGAGTCTGCAGCAAAGACTTCCTTGATACAGATTGAGCTTGTTCAGGTAACACTTATGAAATTTCTTACTAAAATCAATAAAATTAAAGGATTTGAAGGACATGTTTGAAAAAGTGTAGTTTGAAATGTTGAAAAAGTAATAAATTAAAAATTAATAAATAATTTGATTTACTTTCACAAAATTTGTATTAAAATAACCGTCTGTCCGTCTGATGACTCCATTCGGGTACCTCTATCAACGTGCCGAGTTTGGTTCCAATCGACCCATCATTAAGAAAAAGCCTGATGATTTTGTCCATTTAGAAGCATCTGTCGATACGTCGAGGGCGACATCCCAGTAGCCCGCCTCCAATTATGCCGAAATCGAACCACACATTTCTTCAATATAAAATCTTTACCTCTAATGAAGATGGTCGCGATCGGACGACATCAAATTTTGACATTTCTTAAGTCAAAACTAACTGTCACAGTGATACGTCCCAGTGAGCAATATTTTGTCACATTTAAGAAACAGTTACGTATCTGCATTTTATTAATGGGACCGATTGCACACACATGTTTCGAAACTGTTACTTTTATATGCCCAGTATACGTGGGAAGTAAAGCACGGTGACGCATTTCGGTAAAAATTGGGAGTTCTATCAATGCATGTGTGAACTAATACACTAACAAGACACTTATCACTCTTTTTTATAGGACTTATTTTTAAAAATTTATCACATCGTTGCCGCAAAGAATACACAACATGGCACTTTATTTCTTACTAAATGACTAGACATATGGTATTTCCAAAATAGGTCTTATCGGGATATACAAACAATTTTTCCACAAACTTTTGTAAACAGGCCAATTCCATCTTTACCTACTATATCAAGAGTTATTACAGTGACAGTTTGAAAAATTAGGCTACAGGTTGGAAGAAAAAAATAAAATGTAATGTAAACTGGCGACTTTCAAAACGTTGCAAAAAGATCCTCATCTGCGACAAATTACATCCGTTTTTTTTTAGATCCTGCAGCACAAAAATCTCAGCTAGTCGAAGCTGGAAATACATTCTTATTTCCATTATATGGTCGACATAGGCTAGCAAAAGATTTAGATCAGTTGAGGTATTTTAAATATAAAGCCCTTACATCTCGTCAGGTACTTATAGTAAAAATTTTGATTTAGCTACCTTACTTCCAACAACTAACGCAGCTGAAAATCATTATTATAGGACCTATAAAAAAAAGTAGTACAAGAATTAGTAGTCCCAGATGGAACTCTTGGTCTATAAGGATTTGGTTGTGTAGGGTGTGTAGGGTTATGAGTCGTCATAACCCTACACAAGTACGATATTGGTCCCGTGAAAATTTGCACAGATATTTTGAGGTACGCACGCAATATCCTCAAAAGCTAAATGTTTGGGGTGGTTTTGTAGGGGAGCATATGATTGGTCCATTTTTTATAGAGGGTAATTTAACTGTTGGAAAGTATTTGGACTTGTTACAGCAGCAGATTGTCCCTAGAATTCGTGAGTTATTGGGAGAAAGATTCCACAATGTCTGGTTTCGAAAAGATTCCACAATGTCTGGTTTCAACAAGATTGTTGCCCTGCTCACAATGCCCGTATTGTTCAAGAATATTTGAATAATACTTTTCCCAACCGTTTAATTAGTGGACATGGAACTATTTTGTGGCCCGCTAGATTATCAGATCTTTCTCCCAATGATTTCTTTTTATGGGGTTGTGTAAAATCCAAAGTGTATGGTCATAATAGGGCTAATAATCTGGATGAGCCTTCAAGTAAAAATACGAGGGGCTTTCCAAACTATTAGCCCTAATATGTTGGCCAATGTCAGACGGGGATTTTACAACCGCCTAGGCTTCTCTCTAGCACAAGAAGGTGGTCTTTTCGAACACTTGTTATATCTTTTTTTTATTTAGAGTAATATTTTAGTTTTTTTTTGAATTTTACTGATGTATTTTTTAATTTTGGAAATGATTTTTGGGTTAGAGAATTTATTTATTTTAAGTTTTGGCTTGTAAACACACTCAAATAATAAATATTTAAGTATTTTTATTTTAAATTTTACCTTAAGTGAAGGTAAACACTTAAAATGAAAATATTAAATACTCGGCACTCCTCGCGTCGTATTCCTAGTCTGTCACGACCGACCCGTCCATGCAACTTCCTACTGCCTGACCAGCTGACCAGCCGACTAGCGGCGGTGAATCTCGAGTACGAACGTAATCGGGTAAACGCAAATTCGTCCGACAACCTGCTATGTTACTAGTAGCACACTAGTAGCCTGGTCTTCTCTGTATAAAATATAGCAACGAGGGCCACAAAACAAATTTTGTGTAACAAAAATATTTTTTAATAAATTAATTTTGCTAAAAAAATTGCAATATTCCGATTTATGGTTAATAAAAGTTGTAAAAATTATTGTCTAACATTCGTTTTGATAAAAGCAGCATGGATCGGCATAATAAATCAAGTATCAAAATTGTACTATGCGTCATGATTGACACAAACGAGGAATCTTGTAACGATATTCCGTAATTGCGTGGTCGATATCGATCGATGAAACAGTGTTTGGACATCATTCCTGTTTTGTGACTTGTCCCGACGCGAGAACGGTATAGTGATCGTGGTGCCGGTATAGTGTAGTTCGTAAGAACGGTATAGTGATTATGGGTAACTCCAGTGTCGATAACAATATTTACACTCAGTGAGCTGCTACTGGAAACCTTTTTTACCCGTTATATTTACACATATTGGTTATTGAAGATGACAATCTTCAAAACTTGCAGCATTGCCACAAGTTGATCTTTTATTGGACTGGGATGTTTTTATTCTTACTTTTTTTTTCTGTGATAATAATAGTGTATAGTAAACGCCACGAATGTTTGGGAGTGATTTATCGCTTGATGAAGTTAGAATCGACACGCGCGCTATCATTTTTACTTTAAAATACGTAAATTTTTACCGCAGACGTAGGTTTTTAAAGGCCCGGTCTAATCATCTACCTGCGCTCCTCCTACTTATTGTAAAATGTTAGCATGATTGACAAAGACGATACTATATCGCGTTTCTTTGATTGATTCGCTTTTGTGCGTCAGTCCATTGGTGTGCTTGCAGTGCGACCAATGGGGCATTCCATTTTATATTTATAACCAAATATATGTTTTGACAAGACTTTGACAGTTAAAACAACAAATTACAACAGATTATATATTGATTATTATATGACTTGAAACACCACGGCACTGGAATTAAGTTTTATGTGCTTTTTCTACACAAAATCGGTTATACGAACTTTAACATTCTCTAAATATTTAAATATTAATAATTTAAATATTTTATTGATATTGGGTAATTTAAATATTTTATTGATGTGTCCATTATTTTGTTATAATTCGTTTTAAAGTAATGAATAATATCTTCGTAATCTCTCACTTATAGTAAAAAGATTTACAATTTTTTATATACATATTTGTTTGGCTAGGTATATTTTTGGGTCATAATAAAAAGGATATTAAGTTAATAATTTACATAATGGGGAATTCCATAGGTCTGTTCGGTTTTATATGAAAGTTTTATGGATTCGTTTTTATTACGTTTATAAATTTTTATAGACCTTAACCTCAACCTATTGGTGCTGTGTTAAGGATTTTAAAATTATTTTAAGGGAAAATATGATCAGAGTAGAAGTAATTTATATTTTTAAATTGGCTCTATTTTTGTTTTGTGTAGATGACTGATGTTTGGTGAATTTAGTATATTTTTTCCAGTTTGTGTAAATTACAAAGAGAATTAATGTAATAAACGTAAAAACAATAGGAAAAATAAAAAATCATAAACATAACAAAAACAAAACGGTAAAACTTTAAAAGATCAAATAAACGGACGGAATTCATATGCCTCAAATGTAATGAATAATGGCCTCAAAAATACGAATGTCATCGTTCTCGTTAATCGTCACAATATTATAAATATCCATAATTAATTCAGTTTGCTTGTGCTTCTTTCAACTAGACAGACTAAACTGGCGGACCGCCGGAGATGGTAAGGACATGCTCCAGTTGCCGCCCGAAAATCACCGGATGGGGTTTAAACTGCGCAAGTGTTCTTCGCCTGGAGATCGAATCTTATCCAACCGCCCGCCGGCGAGAGAGCGGTTACTCTATATGACGGATGTGCGCACCTGTTACTCGGAGAGCGCTCGACTCTGAAATAAGAACGAAGAATTTCGGGAAAGCTCCCGCCAGCGGGAGGCTGGCGATCGACTATGAATACGACCGTAAGAGTGGGACCCAGGTGGGACTCTCCGCTGCGACCGCGAGGGCCTATTGTGGCTCAGTTTCTACAGAAGTGTCTAGCCCCAGCAGGCTATTAAGCTTGACCAATCAGGTTGGTTAGCGTGGTTATTTGGAGGGTGTTAAT